ATTACAATATATAGTCCATACTAAACTTAGGCTGTGCGTCTACAATTAGCTCTGCTTGAGAACAGACACTAAGCTAGTTGGCCGACATTTTATGTCCTAAATATATTTAGTATATTTCGAGAATTTTGAGTATTTATTCTGCTTCCATTTAATAAAATTGAAAAAGTTTATTTAGTCTTTGTGTGTATGTCAGATGTGAAACGGAGTAGAACCCCATTACAAAACAGTATACTAATTTTTGGATATGGCGGCCATTTAGGGCAGAGATTTATTCTCAAAGAATGGAGTAGATGGATCTATGTGTGTAGAATGTATTATAGTCCACACATGACATTATCATTCTTTAGTGGTAAATCATTCATAAAAAAAATCCAGTTGAAGAAATGAAATGTGGATCAACGTCCTTCTTTTTTGCACCCACAGGGCTAATAACGACAGACGAACACCATGCATTGTGGTTAAGTGCAGCTCTCCTGCCTTCTCTTAGTCGAATTCAGTTTATTTTTAAAGTGCACGCCAAAGCGTACATGTGACCTCGGGTTTTCGCTCCATCGGAACAACGAGACACTGTTCATTGCATGACCCTCCCTTCCTGCACCACTGACAAGACCCGAGGATAATTTTGACCATTAAAGATACATTATGTAAGATTTAGATAAAGAGCTAGTCATTCTTGCTATAATAGTTCGAAAATAGATAATGTAAAATGAATAATTTGAAAATTACTCTATTGCGAGCGACGATATTAGCCTTTGGAGGTTTGACAAGACGTGTGCAATAATTTCAACCACCGTACTGGTTGTTCGGAGCTAAGTCTCGCTCCTCCATTTTTAGCTTAAATCAAAATATGGCTGAGCTGTTCTAATCTATTTAATATCGGAGAAATATCCAGAGTTGATTATGGCCTGGATAAGTTAATTAATGTCTGATTAATAATTTAGATAACATTTCAGGCCTAAAGAAAGACCTGCAATAGGCAGATTTGGCTCTTGCATAATGTATGTTTAACTTACGTAATATAACAAGACGCGTGCCTTTAACGTTTTAATGTAGTATTATCACACAGCGGAGATCAACACAATCTTATAGACTAAATAATAATAATCTAACCATGCTCATGTTATTGTAAAATTACCGACATGGGTGTAGGAAGACAGACCAAATGAAACGAAATGGGGTTTAACGGCCTACTGTTCTGCTTTGCTTCGACAGGGCTAATGAAGACGGGTAAACGCCATGGGGAAAATTTTGCTCTTACAGCGGCGCTAAGGCCTACTCTTATTTCGAATTCCAACTGTCAAGGGATCTTTTACCTGCACGCAACCTAGTTTAATCGTAGCATCAGAACGACTAGATAACTATCCTTGTCAGATTCTCCGTCCCGCACCACTGAGAAATCCCGCGGAACTTTCTCGCCCAACACCAGGGCCAAACCCGAGACTTTCTGGTTATCGAGCCAGCGTCTTACACACTCAACCATCGCGACTCCAAGATAAGTCAAATCTTGGCGATTATTTGATTTTGCATGCATCAAGATTTGTATCTTCAATGTAATTATAAGGTCAAATGACGGCAAATAAAAAAACCTGTTCTTGTAACAAACAGTGAATATGTCATTCCTCTTTAAAGATGCATTATGTAAGAGTTAAATTTGGGCATTTAATCACAATCAACTCTCTAGAACATCGGATGGCTTAAAAATTGAATGGATTAGAACACCTTCGCCATTTAAATATTTAACGATAAATTGGATAATCGAGACTTTGTTTATCATCGTAAGAAATGGTACTTGACAATCGAGAATATCTTGTCAAAATTTCAAAAACCCATAAAATAATTTGACTGAAATTTTCAATATAGTAATTTTGCATTGAATTATTACAAGAACGAGCAGCTCTTTATCTTAATTTTACATAATGCATCTTTAAATCGTCTACTTGAGAAAATGTCCCACGGATTTGCTCTATTTTTGCCGTCTGTAAATATCTTTTGTTTCCACCTCTGGGCTATAATACCAGATAATTTATACCAGAAGATGAGCGGCGAGTCGAAATAAAATCGGGTTTAGCGTTTAACTTTTCTGGAGCTACTGGGCTAATCGATACGGGCATACGTCATGGTATTAGTGTGCTATGGGGACATTTTGCCAGGACAGTGGCGCTACGGCCCACTCTTCTATGATTTCCAACTGTCAGAGGAGCTTTAACTTGTTGCCAATAGCATACACGGGACCTCAGTAAACGTTTTCTCGGCCAACACCGTTATCAAACCCGCCACCATCTGGATCTGTAAGTATGACACTGGATTAATAACCAGGAAGTCCTAGTTTCGATTAGGTGTTGACAAGGAAAGTTCCTCACAAATATACAGCCCGAGTTCATATTTTGTCAATGGTGCAGGGCGGACCGCCTGGCTATAAACAGCGTTTTGCTGATCAGATAGGATGAAAAGCCGTTGTCTCGTCGGCATACACACAAGAGAATGCTTGGCAGTTCGGATTTGAATGAAGCGTACGCGGCAACGCCACTGCCCGGACAAAATTTCCCCATGGCACATTGAATGGCATATTCTCATCTTTAGTAGCCCGGTTGGTACACAAAAGTAAAACAATAAACCCTTCTCATTTCGTCAACTGATTCATTTTTATGACGTTTTGATATTTTCGATAGTTTGTTCTTCTGTGTTTTACTGACTGGGGAGTCACGGTGGCTAAGTGAGTAAGACGCTGGCTTGCTAGCCTGGAGCAGTGGCTGGAGGTCGCGGGTTCGCTCCCGGTGGTCGCCTAAAAAGTTCTTCGGGCTTTTTCGGCGTGGTTTCCCTTTGTCAGTGTTGCAAGAAGGAGGGTCAGGCAAGGACAGCTGGCTAGTCGTTCGGATGGGACGAAAAACCGAGGTCCCATGTACATATTGGCGTGCACGTAAAAGATCTCCTGGCAGTTGGAATTCGATATAAGAGTAGGCCATTTCATTTCATTACTTATAGACATGATATTTAACTGAAAGATTCATTTTAAAATAAATAAAATTTTATCAGGAATATTGAAGGTCATCTTAGATCGATATGGGGTTTATCTTCTTGTGATCGTAAGTAAAAAATATATACAAACATGAGCATTTTTTATATCTGTTAGATATTATTCTAGGGGAATTTGATCTATATTGAGAGTTAAAAGCGGCCGATCTGCTCCATAATTTAAATTTGATTCCAGTGGGTTTTTTGTTTGTTTTTGTTTTTAGTTTAAATGTGATTCGAGCGGGTTTAATTTTTGGGTGGGTTTAATTTTTTAGTTTAATAAATGTGATTTGGCTGGGTTAAATTTTTTAGTTTAATAAATGTGATTCGAATGGGTTGATTTTTGTCTTAAATGTTATTCGAGTGGGTTTAATTTTTGAGTCTAAATGTGATTTGGTGGGTTTAATTTTTTAGTTTAATAAATGTGATTCGCATGGGTTTAATTTTTGAGTCTAAATGTGATTTGGTTGGGTTTAATTTTTTAGTTAGACCCGAGTATCGCGGTAGGTGTGAGGCTGTGTATTCTGGAGTTACTCAGGGTATCCTACTTATATTCACGTCATCCACTGTAACATCACATTGCAACAGGTACATTGGATTACGTACTTATACATGTGAAACATACATTATGCACGAACTAAATCTGCCTATTGCAAATCTTTATTTAGATCTGAAATGTTACAGAAGTTATTAATTAGACATTTATTTACACGACAAGCTCAAGATCAACTCAGTAGACCCACGGATGGCTTGGATACAGTTTGGATTTAAACTGACAACCATTTGAAATTAAATCAATAAATGGCGGACCAAGCTAACGTTGACCGTTAGTCGCTGATGTCATTACCGGAAACTGGTGATGAAAGGCCTGCCAAGCGAGGCTACCATAGCCATTGAGCATGTTACTTGATAATCGAGAATATGTGGGTGGAGTTATCGACTGTCAATCAAACGATCGCCAAGTAACATAGACGGTGCAGATACAATTGATGCCTATTTCTAGTCCAAACTTCCAACAGTGACAATTCCGTTCAGAACAAAGTAATTTGACTGAAATTTTCAACATTTTCTTTTTTTATCATCTATTTTTGAATCATTATAGCAAGAGTACTCAACTCTTAATAAAACTCTTAACTAATGTATCTTTAAAGTACCGTGCGTAATCCAACAACCTCGATATAATTGTTGTAGAATAGCCTCAAAGGAAAATTGATATTTGTATGATTCAGGGGGAACTCTAACTAGTATAACAGTTTTAACATGTGAATATATATATGTTATTACCTACTACTACTGTACCCGGTGTATTGTAACAGCCTGATGAATCTGTTTAAGAAGTTTCTCGGCACAGCTCGGTGGAGTGAAATTTAGCTGCTTGTCATTTTAAAAATGAGAGAGAGAGAGAGAGAGAGAGAGAGAGAGAGAGAGAGATGGGGGTTTGTGTCCACTCGCCACAAACTAGGACATTTCTAGACTAGCATATGGTTCAGTTTTATTTCGATAATTCGCTTGCGTGTAGGGGTCTTTAGCAGTGGGAGAAAACCGGAGAACCCGGAGAAAACCCACGAGGTTGGACAGGCGCACCCTATTCCTTGTCACGTACAACCGCGGAATCGAAACCACGCCAGTTGACTCAATGACATTTTAAAAATGAAATGGAGGTTTAACGACCCACACCTCAGTACCAACCGGGCTGAACAAGACGAGATCATGCAGTATGGTGTGAAGGGAATTTGCTTTATCGTCAATGGTTCTTTTACGTGTACGCCAATGAGAACAAGGGTAACTTCTTAGTATCCTATCCGAAGAACTATACGTTTTTTCAGCACCACTGACAAAGGGAAAACCAGGCTGGGAAATCCAAAGGAATTATCTCGACTGACACCGTGATCAAGACTGGCGCTTCCTGGTTAGTGAGCCAGCTCCATACTCACTGAGTCCCCGCGGTGACTTCCTTGACATTTTAAAATCAATTTAGTATTACTCACCTATTACTTTAGCAAAGTCTTCAAATCCATCCTTTTTTTCCTCCTCCCATTGTCCAATAAAATTATCCAAAGACATGATTCTGTTATATTAATGTCCACGAATATCTTACTGAAAGATTTCTCTTATAATGTCTTTAATAAAATTCTTCTATCTCTCCAGTCGTCCGTTCTACCTTCTATCTATTCTATGTTTATGAAGCCGACCGGTCACTAGCTATGCTCCTTAATGAAATGGATCGGGTAGAGAGAGAATTTATACGATCATATAGATCTATTGTTGTCCCCTTTTAATGAAATACCGACAAGGATATAATTGAATGTAGTAAGAACGAACCAAGCTTAAATTCCAACCCACTAGGTCTTTCGGTGCAGGCACATGCAACAAGAACTCAGCACACAAATAGAAAAAAAAACTTTCACCGGTTCAATTCCATAATCACTGCAACTGTTCACAATTGCAGCATGAATAATGCAATTTGTTTAGGCGCATTTTTCTGTGTGTTAAGCCCGGCCTACCAGTTCTCAGCAGACGCCTCGTGAGTCTTTCAGTTTTCAAAGCATTCAGAGCATTGGCTTTGCCGCGATCGGCACACTACATGTGTATCAGAGAATAGTTATATATCTCTGTATATACAACTAGAACACCACTGTTTCTTCAAACACGATTCCCGCTGTACGATATAGACACAGGAGAAATTCTAAAAGAACAGATGGATACTAACTCAGTTTCCTTTCATTCTTTCAAATTTCAAGGAAACGCCGTCGGGTTTTGATTATTGGCTTATTGGCGTCTGGATATTATGATACATAACACTATATACCTATGATATTGGTAAACCTGGCCGTTACACCATTAGTCTAAAACCTTTCAATAGCCTGAATTTATACAAGCCGCTTGTTACACGTGCAATTTCATAGCAATTATTGACTAATAACAGAATTTCTAACTTGCAGACACACGTGCAACTTCTTCGCATGAATGCGGACTATTGATATAAATGTTTTCACTTATTAACGATCACATGTTTTTCTCTCTCGCTTCATTCATCCGTGGATGAAATATTTATGATATTTCAGTTGAAAAGACACAATTTTGAATCAACTATTTTATCAATATAGCATTGTGTATATTTTAATAGTTCAATAAAAGTAAGTTAATGGTATTCAGAACAGTGGAAGTGTATTGCACGATATTGGTATATCTAACATAAAAGGTATTGAATTATTTCAAAAAGTGCTTTGATGACAGTTAATGATATATGTTTCAAATTTAAAACAAATAAAAAAATCAAATTTGCCTTTGATATTGACTGTTTTGCGTGTTGTGATAATGGCCTCTCTTTAATATCTGACAGGCAAATTGTTATAAAATTGCCGTTATAATTTTCTCTGTTCGTTTCATATTATATGATATTATATAATCGAAAATATTTTCTTGGTCTTAGATTTTCTGGGAACTCCTGATTGAGTTATGTTAGGCACTTCTTGTTACTGTACCTTCGTGTGTTTCTGATATCCCGCGTGTTCCTGATACCCTCGTATGTTCCTGATACCCTTATGTGTTCTTGATACCCCCATGAATTCCTGATATCCTCGTGTGTTCTTAATACTCCCGTGTGTTCCAGATACCATTGTGTGATCCTGATAGCCAGCTCTTTTGCTGATAATCTCGAGTGTTCCAGATACCCTCGTGTGTTCCGGATACTCTCGAGTGTTCTTGATACCCTCGCGTGTTCTTGATACCCTCGTTCGCGTGTTCCTGATACCCTAATTTGATCCTCATAACCCTCCGTTTTATGATACCCTCGTGTGTTCCTGATACCCTCGTGTGTTCCATCCGTGTGTTCCTGATACCCTCGCGTGTTTTTTTATACTCTCGTATGTGTCTGATATCCTTGTATGCCCCCCCCCCCCATTATTCCTTATTCCTGAAACCACGGCCCGAGAAATCCCTCTCTGGCCATTGCTGGATTGGATTTTGATACTTGAGCTCTTGAGGGAGTGTGTCTATTCTTCCCGTTCAATCAAATCTATCCCAAGTACAGCAACATGACAGCCCTTCGTTTAATCTGGGATCTTCTCTAAAACTTTGGACAGTGATTCAAGCTATTAAAAACGGTGAAAGTAATGCTCGTCTCCGAACAGTATTGTTTACATTGTATTCGTTCTGATAGCCTTCGTTGTCACGTAATTAGTTTTTCTGCAGTATTCTGCTATGCACTGATTAATTGGGCATAATAAAATCGTGAGTCATGACGTAACGTTATGTAAACATAATATTAGGTTCAATTTGGGGCTCTAAAACGTGATGATATTGTTACGCAGTTAGCTATTGGTTGTTAATCGGACTATTGACCAGTCATAATTTGGAACAGAAATTTGCTTTCCTTACAACAGTGTTAAGTGTGATTAGGTATAATCAAACGAAACTCTGCGAGAGGCATAGATACCCTCGTGTGTTCCAGATACCCTCGTGTATTTAAAATTAAGAGTTTGTGGTTAATATTTGATGGTTAAACCGATATCAGAGACGTAAAAGACCAGAACTCGGTCTAGTTGGACAGTATCTCGATTAAATTCAGAGAGCTAGATTCTCGAGAATACTGGGAACCTGAACTATAGTTGCTTAAATTAATTGGTCGTGGGGAAAATCACAATAAACTAAGTCTAAGCGGGAGAATACCTCAATCTTAGACGGTCGCGGAAATACTACTCATATTATCAATTCAATATGTTCTTGTATATATTTAACGAAATTTAACCATTTTGGACAGATATTGCTTTTAGAGATTCAGTTTGAACTATACCGTAGTTCGCTAGCCTGGAGGTCGGGTGTTCGATCCCTGCATTGGTCGAGAAAGTTCATCTGGATTTTCCGACGTGGTTTCCCCTTGTCAGTTGTGCAGAACGTAGGGCCTGACAAGGACAGCTGTCTAGTCTTTCGGATGAGACGAAAAACCGAGGTCCCGTGTATACATTGGAATGCACGTAAAAGATCCCTTGGCAGTTGGAATTCGATATAAGAGTAGGTCGTAGCGCTGCTGCCCGGGCAAAATTTCCCTCATAGCACACTGTATGGCGTATGCCCGTCTTCATTAGCCCAGTATAGGAGCAGAACAGTAGGACGCTAAACCCCATTTCATTTCATTTCATTTGTAATGGATTCTCCAAAATGTCGTTCAAATTAGCAGACTGCTTTAATATTGATGTCAATTATGTTTCGTTGTTCTGAATCCACCTAACACATGTAGTGACGTAGTTAGAGTTTTGCCCTGCGGTGGCTCAATGATTAAGGGAGCTGGCCCAGTAATCAGAAGGTCAGAGTTTGATCCTAATGTTGGCCGAGAGAGTTCCCGGGAATTTTCCAGCGCGGTTTCCCCTTGTCAGCGGACCCGGTAAGGAATAGTATCTAGTCGTTCGGATGGGACGAAAAAATCGAGGTCCGTGTATACCTTTGTCCGGGCAAAATTTCACTCGTAGCACATTTCATAAACCCCAACTTCATTCACGAGATCTTTAACGTACTGGCAATGGTGTACACCGCACCTCGGAGTTTCGTCCTATCCGAACAACTAGATGATTTACCTTGCCAGGCACTGGGACCTGCACTAATGACAAAGAGGGAGTCGGGATCCAATTAGGGATCGAACCCAAGACATCCTGGCTATTGAGTCTGTGCCATACTCGTCGAGCCACTGTGCCTCGCCCAAATATATTAGGAGTATCAGATGTAAGCATACCCTGGTTCATACACAAAGGTGGCCACTGCTTACATACACGACAGTCGCCACTGCTTACATACACGACAGTCGTCACGCCTTACAAACACGACATTCGCCATTGCTTACACGACATTTCCCACTGCTTACATACACGACGTCGCCACTGCTTACATGCGCGACAGTCGCCACTGCTTACATACACGACGTCGCCACTGCTTACATACACGACAGTCGTCACGCCTTACAAACACGACATTCGCCATTGCTTACACGACATTCCCCACTGCTTACATACACGACGTCGCCACTGCTTAGATACGTAACAGTCGTCACTGCTTAGATACGTAACAGTCGCCACCGCTTACATACACGACAGTCAACACGACAGTCGCGACTGCTTACATATACGACAGTCGCCACTGATTACATACGAACATCATCGGTGTCACTCTGTACTTCTGGATTCTATTATTAAAAAAAGAACCTCTCTCTAAAAATACCTGACGAGGCAATAATTATATTAGGAAGCTGCTTATCTGTGTATCTAAGACAGACAAATCGTGGGTGTCACTCATCAAGTGGAATAAATTAATTGTAATAACATCACTTTTCTAAACTAGATTTAGCCTAGGGATGAAAAATAATGCATTCGTATATCAAAGAATCATGGCGGTATGTCAGGCGTTAATAACCCCAGCCGCCTACAGTAAATTTCACTGAAAATTAAAGGTTACATTTTGCGTTAAATGAATTATGTTTTCTTTGTCGCGGAAGAAAGGTTATCTGTTAATCAACCTACCATATTAATTACTAATTAATATCATAATTCTTTTGATGTTACCGACTCTATAAACAAACAAACAATCGGTAATCTTAGAACCAAAGAATACAATATAGCAAAATAACATTGAAGAACCTAAATTTAGTTCTACTCTAGAAAAAAACAATAACGGGATATTGGATACTCTCGTGGCAGTGTCTACATAAAGTTAAAACGTTTTTAATTGCCTGATTATACAGTCTGATTAAATGAAATGGGGTTTAACGTCCTACTGTTCGGCACCTATACTGGGCTAATGAAGACGGGCATCCGCCATACAGTGTGCTATGAGGGAAATTTTGCCCAGGCAACGGCACTATCGCCTACTTTTATATGGAATTCCAACTGCCAGGGGATTTTATACGTGCATTCCAATAGATTCACGGGACCTCGGTTTTTCATCTCATCCGAAGTACTAGACAGCTGTCCTTGTCAGGTCCTCCGTCCTGCATCACTGACAAGGGGAAACCACGCTCGAAAATCTGGATGAACCTTCTCGGCCAATGCAGGGATCGAACACCCGACCTCCAAGCTAGCGAGCCAGCGTCTTACCCACTTAGTCACGTGATCCCCAATCTGATTAAAATACAGATCTATATTTCGTTTCGTTTTTTTATACTTTCGATGGTCTACACTACATGGAGATCTGAGGTCATGCGAGCGGCTTTTGACCCTGTGACTTCAGACATTTGATTAACCAATCAGCATTGATGTTACTAGTGGATTACCCACAGTTCCGTGCAAAACACGCCTAAAGCTCGCCGTAACAGACCGTTTTATTGGCTAATTCCTTACACCATTCAGAACACGTCAGTGATAACAACTCTTCCAGATCCTAGTGTAGTAAAGACAAGTAAACCGAAATTTTGAACTATAAAAACGAAACGAAATAGGATCTGTGTTTAATCAGATTGATTGCCTCATTATAGAAACAAGCTTTCTTCAGAGGTTGGATTTCTTGTCAAAATATATATTTTAGAGATGCAAATTATCTCTTCGGATATAACAGACTTTAAATGATTCTACATAATATCGTCATACACTACTGACAGGCCATCTACTGCACATAGTAAGGGTTTCCTAACTAGTGATTTCCATCGAGGTACGGGGGGGGGGGGGGGGGGTAGCGCGTGAGCGTTGCATCATAAGGCCTGTCATTAAG